GGAGGAAGACACCAATTCTCGTTTACTATTATGATTAGTTTTTCTGTTTATATTTGACCTCCTTGTCCTCCTCCGCAAACATAAAATGCATCAAAAAAATTTATATATTTGTTTGTCCTTGAATCAATGTAATTTACAGAGATGTTAAAAATAATATAATAAGGAGTTTTTTTAAAAAGACCATTTTTAAAAAACAATTAGCAAAATAACTTTTTTGCTAAATAATTAGCAAAATCGACCTCTATTTGGCCAGCTCTGGTGAGCTGGCCAAAAGAGGTCGATTTTGCAAATTTTGATGTTGAAAACACACGAGACTACTAGTCCCATGTGTTTAGCGTTCGCAAATCACCTCCTAAACACTACCCAAAAAACACACGGGACTAGTAGTCCCGTGTGTTTTTTGCACAGAACCGGATTACTGAATCTCTGCCCTCTCACCGTCAACCTCTTGATGACCTCCACATTATCGAAGCACGATATATACTCCCTCATCCCCTCGTCACAAACCCTAAACTTCCCAGCCCTAACCCTAACCCTAGCACCCCACCACTCTCCTCACTTGTCTCATTACTCCGGCCACCACTGCCATCATCGCCACCGCCGTTATCCTCCAGATCCGAATCAAACTCTCCTACATCGAAGTCCATCCTCATTGTCCCGTTCTCGTTGATGACTCCATATCTCGCCAACAGAAGTAGTGGAGGAGATGGAGGCAGTGACGAAGGGATCATATTGGAGATGTTGAAGGTGAGGTTGGCATTGGGGGAGATTGCAACGGTGCCGCCTCCGGATTGTTGGGAAATTTTAGTCCCCTCGCGTACTACGATCTCCGCAACTCGGAAGCCAACCCACAATCACCAAGATATAAAATAACCAAAATCAAGAAGAAAAAGCACCGAGATTTACGTAGTTCGGTCAACCAACTTTGACCTACGTCCACGGGGCAACAATACGAGAAATCAACTATGTATCAGGGAGAACTACAAGAGGAACCACTTAACTCTCGTCTCTCAATCTCTCAACCTCACATACATAATCAACTCTCATATTCTCTCCAAAACCCTACAATCTTTTGAACTGGCAAAGACTGCGAAACCCTCTCCCAATGATGTAATCTTTTGCACGGACAAAAACTACGAAACCCCCGCCTCTTGCACAATATTCTTGAATCAAGCTACGCTTTCTGCTAACCCTAGATTACAAGAATATTGGATCTCTCTCATCTGCTTGGTTTTTCCTCCAACAATAGAAGAATATATATATATATATGAAAACCAAAATCCTATCTCTAGCATACCTTCCTAATTAGAATAGGATGCAAACTCCTAATCATGATGAGATTCAATATCCTAATCATGATAGATCTCTAACCTTATTTAATTCTCATGAAGTTATACAGAGAATCAAAAACATAATCCCAACACGGATGCTGCGGAGTCGGCGGAGTTGGAGTTGGCATTGAAGAAGATGAGCTGAGGGTAGCTATCATCGGACCAGTGCGTGCGAGAGGAGAGTGGGTGAGAGTAAGGAGAGAGAACGAACAGTAATACTTAGCCCAATGGGCTTTACCTTGGTCACGTGAGTTCAATCAATGTAAGACTTTGTGGATTAGCCAATTTTAAACACACGGGACTAGTAGTCCCGTGTGTTTTCAACACTTAATTTTGCAAAATCGACATCTTTTTGGCCAGCCTCAGTGAACTGGCCAAAAAAATGTTGATTTTGCTAATTATTTAGCAAAAAGGTCCTTTTCGCTAATTATTTTTTTAAAATGGTCTTTTTAAAAAAAATCCTCCTAATAATAAATACATTGGTACAAATTTCTTATGTTTTTCATTTACTAAAGTGTCTAGTGGACAAGAGTACACGTTAGTCACACATCTATCTGTGGGTGTGTGTGTATATATAGGGAAGGATTGAGGGGAAAGTGCGTTTTAATTTGATGCCAACAAAATGCATTTACCAATTACAATCTTTTAACTTCCAAAGGTGTCAACTACTAATTTCTCCATGCAACTTCCCTCCACTTCCCTCACTTCCTCCCTCAGCCTCCCCTCAACCTTAACACCTCCACTCTCAATGGAACCCAATCATATCATTCCCAATGAAAGCTTTTCCTACAGTCTCCGCCTCTCTTTTGATACCGAATCCTTCATCGAGTTCGACCCAAAACTCATGTCCATGCGTTGGAGCTTCAGATCCCACCATCGTCACGAAGACAAAGAAGAAGAAGAAGCCCCATCACCTTGTTCTTCTCAAAATTTCCGAAATCTTGAAGTTTCTTCGGTACCGAAGAAGAACAAGAGCTCGATATTGGTTTTCCGAAAGTATTTGTGGTTCGTGCTGCTGAAGGTCTGCAGGAGGATGAAACTGGCTCGGGGGATTGAGGGTAATCCGTCGGGGGAAAGGGTTAGCCTTGAGAAGGGGAGAGGGAGCAGAGTTTTCCATTTGGATACAGAGAGTAGCATAGATGAAGCAGTTCTTCATTGTAAGAATTCTAACCTGAGTTCTTTGATGGATTATGAGGCTTAGAAGTTAGCTAGGTGTCGATCTCGATCGTTGTTTTTGTTAGATTGGATCTCAAAATACATGATGCATGGTTTTCAATTTTAGTGGAACATCCCTCAAAATATGTGCCAAGAGGAGAAAGAAAATATTTCTCTCTACCTTGTAAATAAACTTAATTATGAAACCATTATTAATGAGGTATTCCATATCATACAGGAGGCAGAGGGAACAATTTGGAGATTGCATTTGCTTCTTTATGATTCAGAGATCCGCTTACATGTGTTTGGTGTTCTCGTATGATTTGTATTCTTCAATAACCCAGTTTAGATAATTGATGATTTAGAATTTTTTTTTACATTAAAAATATTGAATTCAATTGCGAGGGAACATCATCCAGTAGTCTCCGTGAGCTTGCCAGTTTAGACTTTGGGGCTGTTTGGTTGGCCTTTTTTTGTTTGGGTTTCCCTGTCAAAACTGATAAAAATTATCAGTTTTGACAGCTTTACTTGCAAAAACGCCCATTTTAGGACGTTTTTGCAAGTAAAACTGTCAAAACTGACAGCTTTTGTCAGTTTTGGCAGGGAAACAAGGACAAAAAATGCCAACCAAACAGCCCCTTAGTACATCAAAATATGAAGATTTCTCGGATCAATATACCCATCTTAAAATATTATTATTTTGATAATTTTTGATGCACCAATTATCTAGTGGATATGGAGCATCGGATAATTTCATCAATTGTAACTTACAAGTCAAGTAAATTTATTCTTTCCTAGATAGAAGTTTGGGAATAAAACAAAAGAAGAAGAGAGAAAATGTGTAATGCCTTTTGTATATTGACCATATGTCAGGAGTGGGAAAT